TTTTATTCAATACATGTTTATGGATGGTTCAGATGAAGATTAAAAAAAACCCAAAACCCAAAAGAAAACTTTGGAATGTATAATTTTAAGTAGCAAATCTGCTTCTTAGACTCACTGACAGAAGTTACACTGAAACATGTGCTTTGCTGAACAGAGATGGACTAAAGCATGTGCCTATCTTAAAGCATGTACTTAAGTGCTTTGCCAGATTGGAGGTCCTGATGAGGAGGGTCCAAAAGACAGAGGAACTGGTGCAGTTCCACTCCAAAGGGGAAAAGGGCAGGATTTGGAGAGCCTGTGCAGGGGAGACATACCTGCTTTGCTGAGCAAAGCTCTGTGGAGGTTCCCCGTGCCCCAGCCCACAGGTTACTTTTTGAGGGCAGAGGTGGGATAGGGTAGGAGTGGGGCTTGGTGGGGTCTGAGACTATGGAGATCCATGGGTTACTGTTCCAGCTACAGAGCAGGAGCACAGGAGCTGCATGGGCTACCATAAAGTAGCTTGCCCACAAACTGTGGTGGATCTCATTGGTGCAGTTTCTCAACCTGCTGTTGACATCAGAATTTGTTCCTAAATGCAAAATAATTAGATCACTGCACAGAAACGAAGATTCAGTTAAGTCAGGTCTGGTCATATGTACTGTTAAAATTCATACAAGTTGTTGCATCACCAACATTTCTTACTTCTATCTAATTTAATGTACGTGATGAATCTGTCAATTTACTGATTGATATTCCATTTGTTGATATTGCAGCTTCTGAACAAACACAGCTCAGTTCAGTGCTGATTTCCAGGTAACACGATGCTGGTGACTTCAGCATTGCACAAGATGTAAATCACTGCAAAATTTGGTCCACCGTTCCTTTTAATTCTCTCAGGACCCTTCTGTATCCAAAATTCCAGTTAACTGCAAGGGAGTTTTGAGTGAGCAGCTAACTTTTTATATTATAATAAACACATATGGGCCTGAAACTGATTTATATTGAGACAACTCTACACCACACTGGCAGCATAGAAGGACTTTAAAGTGGGAGCAGATATATACACCCACTTTATGGCCCCTTTACATTGCTAGAGCCGTATAAAAGTGGCCATTGTGTTAATGAGAATTGGACCCATATGTAATACGTAAACCCTAAAGATTTGTAAAGTTCACACACAGCCCAGAGCTAATATTTCTGCATATAGTTACAGGAAGAGAAGAGGAAATAAAATCCTTCCAATTCTACAACTTGAATTTCAGTCCCCTCACTTTCTTTTACTCTGGCCAGCATCTTTTGCTAGAATCCTTAACATTTGTTTTAGTTTACTAGTTCAGAATAATTCAATCTTCTTTCCTTTTGTGGTCGAAACACATTTTTAATTCTGGAAAGTCCTGTAAATGTAGGAAATTCATGTACGTGTTTTTGTTTTTCATCTTGCCATTAATACGCTTAAAAAGTATAAAAGAAACAGTGGCATGCCCAGCTCTGTGTAATCAATGGGAACAGATATAACAGGGACTAGTTCATTTCCTAATGAATCTGAACCCTTGAAATGAGCATATAAATGTATAGAGTCATTGACTTTACAATAAAATGATCTAAAGGACTTAAGCCAACACACCAAAGAGATGAAATGAAATAAAATACTCTGAATGTATATTTTATATGCCATACAGGATGAATGGCATATAGGATAAAAAACAAGTAACGACTGCAAGGAAGGGTTGGAACAGTACATTCAAGTAAAATAAAACGTGTAGCTCTACATAGGTGCTATGGTAAGGAGTACGGTACAACCAACTAAAGAGAACAGAAGAGAGTGATGGATAAATGAGCATATAAAACAGTCAATGAACAGGGAAACTTTCCTTTTCAACTCTCCCCATTATCAGGTGTTTACTATGGTAGAAAACAGGGCGGAAGATGCAAATTACACATATGCAGCATCTACTGAGAATGCTTGACATTTAGTCAACTTTTCTCTTGTATTTTTTTTTTCCTTTGGGTACAGGTTGTTTCCGGATCTCACGGAGACAACTGTCATTAACTACCCTGGTATAAAAGAGCCTGACACGATAATTTTGTTGTTTTGATCACACAGGAAGGTAGATTCTGTATACCTAATTTTCGCATATTAAACTGCATCTATACATTGTTGCCTTTAAAACTGACTGCTGGAAAGAAACATGCCCAGCTGAACTGAGGTTTGCATGTTTTATGATCATCAGCTGCTCAAGCTCTTTTCCAGTGAGAGAGTGGCAAACCAAATCTTTGACAGCATTTGGATGATAGAAGAGAGTGATAGCAGCAGACGTGCTAAAATGGTAAGTCGAATACAGAGTGTGAATGAACTTTGATTTATAATATTCATTGCTCCATTTTGCTAAATGTATTATGAAAGACAAAAATATTTTTAAAAAAATTATTATTTTCTTACAGAAAACTAAAACTGCAGTGGTTTGCGCCTGTGCCATCCTCATGGTTTTTCTTATAGTTGAATCTTGGTGTGCTCCAAAGGTAAAATGTGGGTTAAAAATGTCTCTGCAGGACTTTATGAGAGGATTCATTTCTAGCCGAATAATTTCTACTTTGTTTTTGCAACTTGCAGAGCAAACTCATAGCAAGAAATTGGGGCCCACAATCAATGCTATACCTCAAAGGACGATGTAAGTTAGATTCAGTAGCCTATCATTTGCACAGTGAGATTAAATGTTTAGTTGGACTAAAAAATAGTTATGAAACTGAATTGATATGTATTTTTTAAAGTACCACATTAAATAAAAACACTGGTAAGTTAATAAAGCTGTTTTATCATATGAAAGTTGTACCACCATGCAGTAGACAGATACATTTTCTGTGTAAGGATATCCTAATACCAAAGTACTGGTAATTTTTTTGTGTTACGTGCAAATGTTGTTAGAAATGTTATTTTTCTACTAATACCACAGTCATATCTTACTCAGTTATGTATTTCTTTTACACAACATATTATTTACAATTACAAATACTAGTGCCTTGGACAAATAGTACAATAATTATTGGCAGAAAAATAAGATTGTGTTTCTAATTTTTGTGATGTCTGTACATTTTCATGTACGTGTTATAAAGTCAACCCAAAAACAGTTTGATGAAAAGTGGTAAACGTATATTGTACTGTCTACTTTTAACTAATTTTACTGCTAGTGTCCAGTCTTGAAAACAAATAATCTCAGAGCATTCAAATGTCTCTACCTGTAGAACAAACCATGCATTCCAATGCAGGATTTTAAATTCACTTTCAATTCAGATTTTTTAAATTACAGTAAGTAAACAAATATTTTGTTTCGTTGATTCTCAGAGGAGTCTATAAAGTATGCAATCATCTAATTTAATTAAATAACTAGAGAAAGACAAGAGCTAGCAGCGGAGGGCAATCTGATAAAGTTTGCCATTGTTTGACAACAGAATGTCACAGAGTAGACAGCACTATTTAGTTATATCTTTGAAAACAAACTAGTTTAATTGATGAGAAGTGACAAAAGGTACCTGAAGTATGGAGACTTAACACTACACCTACTCAATGTCTTCCTATATTATCCAGATGACATTTGCAAAAAGAGATAACTGTGACAAGGTCTGAAATGCTCTTTCAGGCTTGGAAGAATTTTATAAATGATACTGTGGGAACAATATGCTTCTAGAGAGTGATGACCAAAGAGTTCATTCATAATTACTGTAAGCTGTAGATAAATAATAATCTTGGAGTGGATCAAATTAAAAATCAAAATATTTCAGAGGTGGATCACAGCTGTAGGCCTAGATCCTTCCACCACTAGGACAATTTGGCCCTGCTTCACTGATGGGCAATGGCTATGAGGCTGGTTTAACCAGCCATAGGAATATTCCCCAGTGTAGGGGGATTCTTGGATGGCATAGAACCAATAAGGCCACCATAATGGCTTTTACTCCAACCCCGCCTCCTCCTGGTGGCCAGTACACAGGGCATAGCTGGGGGAAAGAGGGGATTAGCACAATTTCCCTGTTCCCAGCGATCCCCAGTTATCATAATGACCCCTTAGGGCTGTTGGCAGTGGGTGCAAGTTAGAGAAATCTTCAAGCTACTCTAATCTGTGCCAGAGAAGCTGTCCAACATCCAGATGACCCAGGATCAAGGGAACTCAGAGGTACTTAAAATCACTTTTGCACTCCTGCTTCTCCTGACAAATTTTAAGAGATCCTCAGCTGGAGTCCAGAATTTTTTCCAGAGAGGATGTGTTTATATGAAGCAAAGAAACTACTGCAGGGATATGACTGCATGAAACAGTTCATTTTCTTGCTTGTCCTTGCAATGGTCTGGTATTTCCACACAGGAATATTTTTGAACTAAACCATTTTGGTGTGTATGCAATATTCTTTACAACCATGCTTGTACTGTACCAAGTGCATTCTAGGGCCACAGAAACTTTTTTCCCATAACATGGAGCAGTGTTGCTGGCAGCAGAGATGCCTGGGTAATTTCCATATGCAAAGCACTGCATTGTAGGGTGCATTTTGTCCCAGAACTGCAAGCAACCAGTACAAGCAGCTCTTGCAAAACACTGGGCAGCTGCTGTCTATGAGGACACAAGGCATTGGTACAGGCATTGCAAGCTCAATTAATGGTTTGTTGCAATGCCTTTTTGACTAGTAGAGACCAGGTCAGAGAAGTTAAGTGACCTGACCAACGCCAAAGGAGGAGTCAGTGTCAAGATTCAGGAGTTGCCAGCTCCCTCACACAGCTCAGCAAATCACAGCTTTGTCTGGATTCAGTGTGGCTTTCTCACATGCATACTGAATATTTGTAATAAACCATCCAGACATGTGCCTTGTTTTGAATGATGTATTGATAAAACATTTTCACTGGTAACTTCTCTCTCTTTTTTTCATTTTTAACAGATGGTAGAAGATATGCTTCTGACAGTGAAGAGCAATATTACAAGCTTGACCTGGAGGACTTAAATGCAGTGTTAAAAAGTAATTTTTAAAATATAATATACAAGTAAATCTGCCATAAGCATTTATATGTCGATTTTTAAAATGTTACCCAGACAAATAAATTTCTTGGTCTGGGATGCAGGCAAAACCCTTGGGGCAGATCCTCAGCTGCTGTAAATTGTCATAGATCCACTGGACAATTTATACTAGCTGAGGATCTGTCCCTTGCCTTGCCAATTCACTTCAAATCGGGGGGAAAGACTGAACACAGGCAGGATTTTCCACAATGTTTAGTGTTACCTTAACCCTGCTGCCAGTGAACCATTGACTTTGATGGGAGCAGAGTTAGGCCAGCATGGAGTGCAGTGGAAAATCCCATGTATATACTGGAGGTTCAACCATTTCATAGCATAAAGCAAAAATTTAAATAAAAAAGTCTTTATTTTTGGACTGGCAAAAAGACAGGCAGCAATCTTCTGCACATCTGGGAGTCTGCAGAGGTGGGAGTGGGGCAAGGCAGAGAGAAGGGAGTTGCAGGAGTGAAGACAAGAGGAGATGAAGGAACAGATGAGGATTTCAGCTGAAGTGGAGCGGTGGCAGTGTTGTGCACACAACGGCAATGATGGAGGTGCTAACAGGCAGGGGTGTACATGTAAGTCATGCAGGTAGAACAGTGACATTCAGGGCCCAGGGTGACGCCAAATTTACAGACAGTGAAGGCTACTGGGGAAAATATATGCTTCGTTTGTGACATGAGAATCATTCCCATCAAGCATGCTGGAGTATTACAGGAAATGGCATTGCAATGCTGCATCACAACATGGAGCTACACTACAGTGCACTGATGCAACATCACACTGGGGAGATTCCCATTTTCTGATGTGGCAACACAACGGTGAAATCCTGCCCTACTGAAGTCAAGAGGAGTTTTGCCATTAACTTCAATGGGGCCAGGATTTCACCCAGGATTAGCTTGGCTCACAAGCAAATACAAAAAGGTGGCAGCCCTAACAAGGTGAGCTGGGAGTGTTCAGAATCATACCCCAGTTCTCTGATTGCTGCCATGAAGCCACAAAAAGTGGTTGCTGTTACAATACCATCTTCTCTCACTATTATGCAGCAGCAGCATAAACCCTACCTCAGTCCTGTCTCTGGGCAGGGGTTCATGGCCATTATTGTCAGTACTTGTGCCAAGAAGTGCAACAGCATGTACTTAAATGCTTTCCTGATTATGAATGGATTTAAGTATGTGCTTAAGTGCTTTCCTCAACTGGGGACTGGGTGAGCAAATCAGCAGCAAATTACAATGGGGACAGGAAGGAATGAGCTCCAGGAGGACGTGGCCTTTTAGTGGTAGAGACAAGGATGGTGTTTGTGACAGGCTTTACCAGGGGGAAATAAGAAGGAGTCCTAGCTCAGGTCACTCAGCAACTCACTGTTGCTCTAGGAAATGAATGAACAGTTGTATTTTTCTCTTTGTTTTTGCTATCTCTGCTCAGTGTATTTTGGGGAATTTGCTAAAAAGTAAAATAAACAAAATCTCCAGGAAGAGCAACTTGTTTTCCATCAGACTCCCACCAAGTCTGGGCTGCTGTAGGGGTGTGTGTGTTGGGGGGGAGGGAGGGGTGAGGACAAAGCTCACGAATACACTATAATCTTTAGAAAAAGATCAGTGACAAACTGTCTACCCTATAAATTGGTTTAGATTCATGTAAGTTTTCAAGACTAAATTGGCAAGGAAGAGGGCTAGAAACAGTAGCCCAGACTTGGTGGGATGGATCTTTACATCTAAAGTAGGTGGAGTCCTATTCAGGTGTTTATATATTATTGATTTTAGGGCCCAGTCCAACTCCTAGTGCAGTCAATGGAAAGACCTTGACTTCAATGGGAGTTTGAACAGGCCATAATATCTAATCATGGACACTAAACATTGTATATGTTTTCATATTAGGAACATGTGTAGTGAATATATATTTTTTGAATTTAGGTTATAAAAATTCAACACCAGTGAAATTTATGAACATCAAAAGAAGATTAACTGCTCAAAATATGGACATTAACTACTTGGAATAGAACAAATAAGTTTACTTTACCTGCTGCTAATTTCTCATCATGCTGTAAAAATAAAAACAAATATGTTAACTTAAAAAAGTTACTGTAAATGTCACTGTGAAAAGTTCCATTAAAGGCTGGTAAACTTTAAATCAGTTTGGTTTAGTAACAATTTCATTTTATGTTAATAAAATTAAATTTGGTAGTCATGGAAGCTAAAGGGTGAACAACACATTAAATGCTTGATGTTCTTAGGAGCGATATCCAATGTAAAAAAGCAACAGCAAAGTTTACAACTCCCAGGTATCTGCAAAGTAGCAGTGTTCAAAACACAAGACAGGTGTCTCTCTCTGCTTTCACCAAAGACATACTTCCCCAAAACTGGTACATTGACTGTGCTTCTCACTTCCACTGCAGTCACATTAAGCGTCCTCTTGTGTTTGACCCACTCAACAAAGTCATCCCCATCAGCCAGGTGTTTAAGCAGAATGAAATGTCCAGCTGGAGCTGCCTCCTTTGCAATTCTCTGGTCCGACAGAAAGAGCACTTACTGCCTCTCATCACACATGTAAAAGACCATGCTATCTTTAAGACATAGATTAAACAAGATGGCAATGCATTTGTACCTCATCGCTGTATCTGTTTTAGTTGTGGGTAATTGGCTTTTCTGGTTTTATTGCAATCAAGTTATTAGCTTTCTTTCTTTATCAGGTTTCACACATCACTGGCTTCTTAAAGTTTGTTCAGGAATCTGAACATGACTTAAGTGGGATTTTGTACATGCAATCTTCACAAATATTGTGCTAGGATATGTTTGGTACTTGTGTAAGAGCTATGAAACACAACAGGATCCTTCAAGTGAGCTGCTTTTGATCTTTCTGGTACAAATGCCGTGTTTGCTAATTACTCATTGAAATTTTACATCAGGTGCTCACTCATCACACTGACACAGGACATCTGTTCTGAAAATGGTATTGTAGCCTTTGTATTTAAACAACTAAGTCATTTATAATATTTGCTGTACGCCTGGTGACACTGTACACTGACACAAGAATTATCCTGTGGCATTAGCTTATTTTAACAGTAAACTGCTTCCAGAAGAATTTATCACTCGTGAGATCAGATAATCCATATGCTCTCCAATAAAGATCAACATGACCTGGAAAGAAAAAACAGCATAATCTGGGGTCTGTGGGCAGCTTAGGCAATGTAGGTTTTTATAGTCGTCTAAAACTTCTGGGTGCTTATCTGAACTCTGAATGTTTTGAGGTTCCCCATCACTGGTGTCACTGTACTGATGCTAGTTTATGGCATGCGTTTACTTGCTGTTTGCCTGCGGTAATGGGTTTGCATGTTTTTCATTTTATTCCCTTCTCAGTACTAGAAGCAGGACAAGAATTGTTTTAAAGGGGAGAAGGAAAATATTTCAGTTTGGGAGAGCAACGGTCAGATCTGCGCAATGCTTTGGTTACACATAGGCCTTGTGTGCACTTGCAACGTGTAGGGTATGTGTAGCTACACACCACAGTGGAAAGCTGTGTCTATGCTGCACTGTGTTGCTACACATGTCAGTGAAAGGCTCTGGTGGGGGAAGGCAGCAGGGAAAGGCTGGAGTCTTTCCCCACTGCCTCTGCCCTGCCCGAGTCTTTCACTGCTGCCAGAGCCTTTCACTGCGGCAGGACAGGCTCCCACAGGGGACACTACTCTGCTAAAAATAGCAATGTACACATGGAAGGCACCGCTTGGGTGTGGAAAGAGCCATGTGGGGTATATACTCTAAGGTTCTGGCATGTCTCTATCCTACTTGCCTTAGCAATGCTCACCATCTACATAGTGCAATCGAACCCCGTATATCTGAGCCTCCATTATCCAGCTCTCCGGATTAGCTGAACTGGGGCTGACAGCAGGTGCCCTGCCACCCGGGGCTGAAACTCTTTGCCCATTCGCCGGATTATCCAAATTTTTGATGATTGGATCTGGCTCCAGTCCCACTTAGATCGGATAAGTGGGGTTCCCCTGTATTTATCCACGTGGTAGGGAGGCGTGCAGTGTCTGTACTCTATACGCCACAATAAGTGTAGACATACCTATACACATCTAAAACACTGAGACGGGATCAGAGTTGAAGACCCAGCTGACAGGTCTATTCTTCTTATTATTATTATTTGTATCATGTGAGTGCCTAGGAACCCTAGACTTCGACCAGGACCTCACTGTGTACATTCTATGGGCACTGTACAAACACAAGGTCTATCTAGTTTGGCTGGTGCTGCTCCTGTCTGAGGTTAATACTTTAGTATACTTTTAATAGACCTTTATTATCGCTATGACACCTGCGACTCTCTGTGTGTAGTTTATAGGTCATAAGAAACAGTTATGATTAGGTGCATTGTGACTAAAAACAAGCTGTTGTTGCTGCTGCTGAAGAGATTGTTCGGTGTATGAAAGTATGCATTGACTTTCACAACCGAACTTTGCCTGTGCTGTCAGTTCTGCTGTTCTTGAACTTCATTGTTTAAGTGATGCTGATTTTGTGTCCTGCCTGCCTAGCCTAAGTTCTACTGTATATGCCTCAGCAAAGCTGGAAAAAATGCTGACTCCCGATTTATTGCTGTTCTTTTTGGCTAACTTGGGGAACTGTGTCGGTAAAACAATTCACCTCGCAACAGGCAGGCCGACTAGCAGTCAGATCATTGACTACTACCCACTGGGTTAGATCTGGGGGAAAGAAACTTGGACACGGGCAAGAGGGCCAGAACAAACACCTGCCTCCCACTGATTTCACTAGCATATGAATCAAGCCCTAACACCAACCAATTAACAATTTTTCTTTCTTCCTTCCACTGACCCAGCCACTCTCTTCATCTACAGTGCACAAAATTTTAAGAAATGGCCACTATCCTGCTCGGGCATGAAATTCCAAGATCATGAAAGTTCTCCAAATGGAACAAATATTTTCAAGTGAAATTTTGTGAAAAAATGGTCACTAGTTTGACACTTCTCTTGTTGCACTCAGGTAGCCTGACTTTTATATGTGCTCTGAACCACACAAAGCAAGGAAAGGGGATCTGCAAGTGATAAAACCAAGTACACTGTACAGTAGAAGACAAGCTACTTGCAAACAAATGGAAGCACTGAAAAATCCTTTCCTAAGGAAGCAAACACTGCTTCAAAATAGAATAGAAAAAAGTGTGATTTGCATATTTGCACTCCCATTAAAGCCAACAGGACTTTTCCCTGCAGGAAATCTCCCCCCGCCATTTGTGGTGCCATTTCCCTTGCTGTAGGTATTAATAATAAATAATAACCAGACTCTGCATTTCTATAGCATCTTCCACTAAAGATCTCAAAGTTCTATTCTTTCGATTTCCCTGGTGCTTATCCAGAATTCCAGATATCTCCCAAATATTAAAACACTCTGGTATAAATCAGAATAGATCTGTTGACTTCCATGGAGCCTTGCTGATTTACATCACTTGAGAATCTGACCCAGCATTTGAAATCCTAAAAATGTTCAATATGCTGTTAGGATCCACCAAATATCTAGTTAATAGTCTCACACAAAAACCAAAGAAACTCAGTCAATATGGGAATATCCAAAGACTTGACCTGCCTCATCCTGTGTTCTCCAACCCCTCCATCTATGAACTCTAACAGCCCTGAAAGCCTGTGCAAAAAGATGCGCTTTGCAGGATACCTTGGATTGTTCAGACTCTGAAGGACCAAGGAGAGAAGTGAATTTCATAGCCAACCTCTCCTCAGGGAGAATGTCCTGCCATGATTTCCTCTCATTTATAATGAGGGACGTCCAGCTTGAGCATCTCTACTGATATCCACTGTGGCAACATAAAATAAGTGGCCCCTCAGGTAGCCAGGGTCTGTGCCACTTAGGACTTTCTGACTTAAAACATACAGCTACTTGAACTTCTGTAAACTGTAGGAAACCAGTGCAATTCTCTGGCTACTGATGTTATATGGTCCCTGCTGAAAAATAGCCAGAGTCACTAGCATCAAGTGTTGATTTCTTGAGGATGGGAAGGACTACTTTGTGTTTCAGAGTACATGGTGGAGTGCCCTTCCTGAGAGGGTTGTTTATATTGTTAAGGAACACCTAAGATTACTATAACTGAAAGAGTTCAGAGGAAAACAGTAGTGTATCTTTCTTTCTCCCCACTTTACTTTGCATTTAACAGCACTTTCACTTTTCACTTAGCAACAAGAGAGAAAAACAAATAGGAAAGCATGACTGTAAAACCACATAGATTGGTAGGGAGTTTCAGGGACAAGGGTAGTATCTGAAACTACTGTTAACTCATGTTTTAAAATTGAATAGGCTTCAAGTTGACAGTGACCCTTTAATCTGCTGGACATATTGCAAGGCCCACCTTTGCTCCCAGGCCTTTGGGGAGAAGGCTGTGTGAAGGGGAAAGGGAGGTTTTATGTTTTATTTGAAGCATTATTGGTTACTTGTTTTCTGTAGCTTTGGGGGAGCTGGGTATTTGTGGTGGGTGAGCAGTTTATTAATTGTTGCTTTATGACATTAATGAAATTCTAATTTTAATTGCTGACAAGGTGCATGCCTGTTAAATTATTTGCCATCTTTTCCAAATCAAAATACATAAAGGCTAGATTGTGACTTTAGGCTCAGTGCTCGGCCCTGAATGAGAGGTGATGCATAAACTGTACTAACCTAGCAGGAGTCTCAGAAGGCAGTGTGGCAGGTTCTCTCTGAGGGACCCTATAGAATTCACTTTCCCATTGGTCTGGCAGAGCCTGGATTTGTTAATCTTACAGGCATGTGCAGTGCTCCTATTTTCTCACTGGTATTTCTCTGGAGGGCTGAAAGCTGAAAGACAATTTAGGTGGTGTCTTATATCACTGGACTTTAGCTCTTGTGAGACTCTGTTAATATAGGACTTGGAAAAAATGATGAACTAAGGTTTTGTGTGGTAATTTTTAAATAGCTAACCTCGTGTTTCAAGTTCTGAGAGGTGCCCAGAGTTCTGTACAGGTATCAGGGAATCTAAAGAAAGGTAAATGCTAAAAAACAACATTACATTAATATGGACTAATTATGAGCTGAATGTAGCACTCGGAATGTTTGCTTAAAGTAAATGTTCAGACACATTTACTAC